CTAATGAAATGGTCACCACTGCTATTGAGGTTGGTGATAAATTGCTATCTTCCTTTAACCTTTAAAAAAGCATCATCATTTGGATCATCTGGGGAGGGAAGATGACTCTTTTGCAAGGGTTATATAGATTTGAATAAGCTTTTGGTCCTACATCTGGTTCAGAGTCAACCGTTCCAGACCGAGATTGGGTAAAAGTTTCTTATGTCTCTTGGGATACACAAGTTCTGATCTGAAAGAGGTATATTAAAATGTTAAATTGGATTGGTGAGGCGTTAAGTTTTAAGGAAGCATATTACACTTCTCTACCGTTATGTTTTACAAGCACCTCATCCACCCTCCAGCTCTTGAAGAAGAATCTCAAGCACAAAAAAAAAACAACAACGATTACAGTGAATAAAGTCTTCGTGTTATATCAGTCTCCAACATTATAAATAATTGTAATTCCTCAATCTAATTTAGTGATTCCATTGGTCTTTATCATTCTCAGTTTGCGATGAAGCAGTTCTACATTTTGCACCAAAAGCCGTGTCTGCTACAGGTGAGTTATATCGAGTCTTGCCACACTCCAGCATAAGTGCAGTTCTGTTAGCGACAAAAGCTCATGTTAATCTACCGCGTACACAAAGCTCCCATAATATTGTTGGTTTTCTCCTTGCGAGTCAATACAACCCTTTTCATTCAATTCAGTTTACGGTCGCTTTCTGAGGAACTTGAATTCTTGAATTCTCTAAACTGGTTGAGAAGCAATCTAACGATTTAAAGGTTGCCCTAGCGATATTGAGCAAGAAGGCCAATCAGTTTTTCTTATCTTCTTCATCGCAGCTCTTTGCCAGTGTAGCACCGATACTTCTTGTAGAGACGAGGTCCGATGCAAATGAGGATGAAGCAGATGATGAAGATCTTTCTGGCAAAGTAAGTTTCCCAAAACGATGAACCATGTTACCAAACACCAAGTTGTCTTTAGTCAGAAACTCAGGACGTTGCAAAAGGAAATTTTAATGCGGGAGATTATAATTATGTGGTTTGCACAGCACGCTTTTTTTCCTCAAAATTTCCTCAATTCACTTTTTATTGTGACTCTCTTGAGCCTTGATCTCTCTATATATAACATTTGCGCGTCCTCTAACGCAGATCCCTCCCAAATGCCTGTTTAATCTGCTGACATCATTAGACAAACCGTCACCTGACAGTCTTGAGGTGTTAGACCTGGTGCGAGCCGAGAAGCCGCTGAAACCAATGGTGAGAAATTGTTAATAGTCTCCCTTTTGGTGACTTTTTTTCTGTTTTCAGGTACTGAATAGAGTTAGCCATAATTTAAAGTGTTGACTATTTGAAGATCTTAGCAAAGAAGTAGCTCACCCATCCACAATAGTTTGTTCCATGATATTTCTTCTGTGACCTGCAAACCTTGATGTCATTAAACCCAGTTTTCTTGATTCGCATCCAAGCGCATCAAACGTGGGCAATTTTCGCTCTCTTTACCAGAACGCTTGCTAGCCAGCCGGTGATCATTAGTTATTTTTAGCTAAGCTAATAGTTTCTATTTTTTTCTCTCGCAGGATTCATGTTACGAATCGTCAAATGACCCTCCTGGTGTTAGTCAAATTGACACCGCAGTCCGCCTGTGCGTTACCGTCGTGAATTTCGCGCCGGAATCAAAGAGAGCTGTACAAATGGTGGTATGTCTTTCTCGTGGATTGTCTTTGTTTTTGGGCAGTCATTTATGGCTGATAGAGGAATTTTCAATCGGGAGTCGACAGTAATCTGGATTTGCTTGAATGTTGCTTTACTTCGTCGTATGATTTGTTTAGAAAACCTGGTCACATATGTTTTCCCAGCTTCTAGCAGGTAGCTTGTTTTTACATTCTTGTCGCCTTCTTGTAATGTCCTCCTTATTTTCTTATTGATTTTTGTGATGTTCTTGGTCGGTTTTGGGTTAACAACACTCAATCGAATTGCGCTCTACAGTATCTGTCTAATAGGTTGACTGAACGCTTGTAAATAGCAGTTGCAACTGAGTTGGCGTCTGCCTCTCGTGGCCAAGGTAACCCTGCAATGGACTATCATCCTTTACAGGAAGGTGTAGCAGTACTTCCCTCATGCCACTGACTTTGTAAGAAGCTCTGGCTTTTACCTCAGGCTAAAAGACAAACTTCTCTTATGAGATTCTCGCAGGGTCGGAAACTTTCCTTAACCGTTCATTGAAAAAAGAAAATTTTGTTCGCAGGTGGTACTGTCTGCCATTTTGCCACACTACCTAAATTACCTCAGAACAGATAGCAGTGCTCCTGATAGTGAAGAAAAACTGAAAGCAGAGCTGACGGGGCTCACCTCTCTTGTCACCTCCATAAACGTTTTGATTAAGAGTTCAGAAGTACTGACAAGGTATTATTATAGTTACCGGTGAAAGATCCACCTGCGTGTTGTTCAGCTTGGGAGTCGAAATAGCTAATGGTCAGCCTTGAACTCAGGATTAATTGCTTGGGTATAAACAACTGGCTTGGTCATTGTGTTGTGGTCTTGGGTATGATGCTTTTCCGTGACACGTCGCTCAACACAATCCAACCCATCCCAGGCTGTGATGTAAATGATTGGATATATGCGACTCCTCTGGGAAACCTGACGAAATGCTTGGGGGTGGGGTGGGACAAGGAGCAGTACCCTTTGTTGCTCTATCACCATGGAAAATTTCAGTCTCTTTAAGCCCTATTTAGTCTGTTCATTTTGTTCCTTTTTCCCAGGTCGTTCGTGCACTTTCAGAGCTACAAGGCATTTTCAGATAAGTCTGGTATCTTTCCTGATCTGGCTTCCACTACGTCACTGATGTTAGGTCGAGGAAGCATCAGCAGCACAGAGGCACCAAGCGCAGCTGACGAAGGGGAGCTAGGTAAGTTTAAAATTGTATCTTTTTTCGTTAATCTTCGAGGGGCAAGGTATGGGAACAGGTACTTTGGTTTCCATAGCACCTACCATATTAACGATTTTCTTATACAATCTATGCGTGAAGTTATGTTTTCGCCACGAGTCCTTCCTGTGTAATTTTGCAAGTTCTGCTCTTCCGCTTTTCTTCCTCACTTATAATGCTTCTTGGTCGCGTTTCAATAAAGCATTTAGGGTCACGTTGGCTAATGAGCTTTTCGTATCAATTTTTTCTCTCTTTTTTAATAATTTTTTAAGTCCTGCTCTTCCGCTGTTGCTTTTTTTTCTTTTTTTTTGCTTGGCGTAAGCACTATAGCACTTGTAGTCTCTCTTGGCCTTGTTATCACGTAATAATTAAACCTGGTTCACACGCGCGATGCAAATGCAAACGCAAATGTAAGGAGTTACACGTGTGAACTGCCTCAATGGCGTAGTTCACAGGTTCCATCGGTTCCATTCCACCACGGCACAATGGCGTCGACTTCTTCCGCCATTTCGGGAAAAAAAAAACTTGCAGAGAGCGTACGGAAAGTTCCTGTACTTTTCGACAAATGTTTTCCAGAATCAAAAGACATATCATAGGAGAGTCTTCCTTGGAAAGAGGTGGCCGGAGAAGTTAGCATAAAATACGGCATGTTTTACGAAAGAATATAAACATACACAGAAAATATATCAGTGCCGTAACAGAATGGTTTCCGAACCATTCAGAAAACAGTTTACGCGAAAATGTTTCACCTCAGAGCTTTTTAAACGAAAACGGCATGCACGAGAAATCTAAAATTCTTTTAGAGGGCACAAGTTAATCCCAAAAGTTAGTCGCTAGAGTCCAGAGCCACTTCGTTACTTATCGTGAGTTGATATGAAACACTAAAAAAAATTCATTATTTGGGTCCCATTTTCCGTTGCATAAACACTTACGGCCTCATTTGCGGTTATTTTGTTTGATATTCTGATAAGATCTCTGACTTCTTGAGGTCTGCTCAGTTGACCCTGTTTCCGTAGTTGAACACGCACACCATAACAAACACATCACGCAAATCAAATTAAAACGTAAAAATCATGGAGTATTTGTAGCCTTTCAACGAAAGTCTTCTCTCTTTTGTTTACTTTCTTACGATATTTAAAATCTCTCAACCCTAGGAGTTTCTTATGCGAAAATTACCTCCCCAGACTTTGCGAAACTTAAGCTTAGTTTACATTGGAGCTGCAGCGACTCAGAAACCATTCTGTTTATTGAACCTGCATGATCTGTTAATCATTTGTCTGTGTGAAAAATTAAAATTTGTTTTTGGGTGGAGATAACGAGATTTCTATTAAGTAGAAAAACGGATTACAGTTGGATGATTCTTCTTCTTTAACATCGCGTAAGTTCAGATTAACTTTTCTTCTGTAACTCTTTGCATCCGCTTTCAGTGCATCATGCAATGCCTTCATTCCGCTTGTTTGTAACCAAGCATGCAGTATGGGTTGGTGGAAAAAGCAATCAAATTTCTTACAGAGCAGAGAGAAAGAGAAAAGGGATATTGTTGAACGGTATAAGTAGCTGAAACACTCAACTGAAGTGCTAGATAACGAGCCCAGCCATGCGAATCGCATCTTTGGTTTGAGGCCATTTTCCATTGTCAAGGGTTATTCAGAAATGCCTTATTCTGTTCCGGTTCGATGGACTATAAGAATTGATGATGTCCTTGTTTGGTTTTTTCATGTCATTTTGGTCGTTACGGTCATGCTATACAAGCCTAGCCCCATAGGTATTGCCATGGATTGATTCATCATTATGCTTGCGGTATTGTAGATGTTGCCAAATTCAAATTTCAATATTCAGAATTCCTACATGTGCAGAGAACAGTAAGTTTCAACGCCGCAATTATGCGAGCTAAAAGCTGATTCCTAGACGATGATATCTTTGTTTGATTTTTTTCTTTTTTGTTTAAAAGTCGTTTGTTTCAGTCGTTCAAAGTTTTGAGGTTCTGTGGTCTTTCATTAGGGCTCATTACTCATGCAGGAATGCTTAGGTTTGAAGCAACTGCGGATTCACTATATCATTACAAAAGACGCCAAAATGTGATACGAAAATTAGTGACACACTCGGCTCCACTCTTGTGCTACTTTATTCCTTTAAATGCATTTTGGCGTCATATTAGATCCATTACTGATCAGACGCACACCAATTTGGAATCTATCTGGTTATAAGTCTCTCACACACTTAGATGCTATATGTTGTTGAATTCGAAATGACTAAGACCTGCCGATTTGGTCTTTTGAGTTACTGTTTTTACGATTCACTCGACGTCTGCGTCTATTTTCATGTGCTCGGTACGTAACGCTCACTTGTCTTTTCTGTTTCTGTTATATCTTTTCTGCATGTTACATAGCTGAAGCGCCTTTTGATACATGCCTTGTATGGTTTAGAGCAAGGCTAATATCCCCTTTCAGGGAGGGAAGGGGGCAGTTAGGTGGATTTTCAATCTTAAACTGGTGTAATAGCCGAGAAACAATCAGGAAAAGCTATGCGCTGCTCCAGTCAAGAAAGGGAGATAACTCCTTGCTGTTGGAAAAACTTAGGTTTCGACGGCGTTCGAACCCCTGTCTCTTAGAAATGAGTTGAGGAGATGAAGCACAAAAAGGACTGGGACTGAGACGGCACAGATTTGAACACACCGATTTACAAGACTCAGAGTGCTTTCTCTTTGCCAGGAATTCGTAGAAATATTAAGAATTATGTAACTTCTTGTCACATTTATCAAAAAAGAGTACTAAGTGATCAATTCGTAGAGTACCGTGATGGAAGAGGCCTCTGATGAACAAACTGTTGAACACAGTAAGCAATTGATCTAATCGAATCAATCAGCCCACCTATCAAAAGTCACAGATATACAATGACACTGGTAGGTTTTGTAACGCCTTTAAGTTGCGCAATCGTTGCAGGGGGAGGCCAAGCAGTGTAAAAGCTTGTGTACAGACTGAAATAGCAGGAACTATAGACTTAGCTGAGCATCATGTTAAACAGACCTCTGATTAACCGGATCAGATCCGTGTGATACCCGGTACCTTACAACAAGAGGAAACCTTGAAGACGAGACATCCCGGAAGTGGTCAACGTGGAAGTTCCTAGAGAGACAAATTTACTTTACATATTGTCCGTCACAGTTGAAACAAAGATAACAAAAAATCGCATATTCTTATATATATATATATATGTTGCATAACATAGCACTTGAGATCATCGTCATTTCCGACACGTAATTGAAAATTGAAGAAGAACTTTAACGTGGCGTTTGTGGTACCTGTAAATTTAATTCTCTTTTTACCCAGCAATTCCTCTAATACATAAATTAAGCGATCAGGCGGGAACGGAAAGTTTATATATATATATATATATATATATGTTTATATACTGCATAGCATAGCACTTAAGATCATCGTCATTTCCGACACGAAATTGAAGAAGTTTAACGTGGCGAATGTGGTACCTGCAAATTTAATTCTCTTTTTACCCAGCGTTTCCTCTAATCCTAAAAATCAAGCGACTAGGAGGGAACGAAAAATTTGTTTCTATAGGTAGAGGGTTCTATATGAAGTTTACGGAGCTTCAACTTTGACGTTTGCAGTAAGCGTCATTCAAGGATTTTTTTAGGTAAAATTCATTGTGCCACTCGACCCTTTCATTTTTCCAAGTCTAGAATCGCCGTTTGAAGAAAACCTTGTAAGGTTTGGGCTTCAGTCCCATGCCAATCGTCCCTTCTAGAGAGGGGTAGGGATAGTTGGGGAGGTTTTCAATCTTGAACTGGTGCAATAGCTGAGAAACAAACAGGAACAACTCCGCTTTTGCCATCAGCTCACCCAAGCACACTCGCCTACCAGCTGAGAACGGCAGATAACTCAAAGATGCAGGATTCAATACATTGCCATTGTTGTCCAAGAACCTGTTGGGGTCAAACTTAGTAGGGCTCTCCCAGTACTTAGGATCATGGTGAATGGCCCATAAATTGACTATCAATGTGGTGTCCTTGGGGATGTTGTACCCGTTTAAGGTGGTGTCCACTAGCGCCTTATGAGGGAGCCCCAGTGGAGCCGGTGGCCTGAGACGTAGTACCTCGGCTAAGGTCGCTTCCAAGTAAGGGAGGTTCTTCTTGTCCGTGAGACTGGGGAGACGCTTGCGGCCAATCACTTCGTCGAGCTCACGATGCACCTTCTCCTGAACCTCAGGGTGGTTGTTGAGGAGAAGCAGCACCCAGAGAAGTGTGGAAGTTAGTGACTCTGATCCGGCAGCAAACATGTCGGCCATGCTCATGAGCATGTGGTCTTCTGAAATCAGGGAGTTGATCTTGTTGTCAGCTTGTTCGTTGTCTTTTATGACTTTGATGAGTGCGTCTGTAAAGCCTCTGATTTTTCCTGGCTCGTAGGTCTCCAGCTGCTCCTTGTACTTCTTAAGAAGGATCCTGTCTCTTTCTTGAACCGACCTCTTTAGTCGACGGATGTTGTTTGAGTCGAATGGCAATTGTTTAAGTGCAGGGAATATGTCCACTAAATTTCCAAGACCCAGTGTCTCTGCAAAGGTGTCGTTGAGTTCGACAACGGTGCTAAACTCCGGATCGCAGTCGCTGTATCGTGAACCAAAGGTCAACGCGCAAATTATGTTTAGAACTCCTACACTAATACTCTGACTTGGATTGTGCGGTTTCCCATCATTGAGATCAAACTGTCGAAAAACTTCTTCGATCTCTCTGCAAATGATCCTTTCTAGTTTCTCCATTCCTGCACTACACAGCTTGAGTGCTCCTTGTGCAATCTTCCTTTGCAGTTTCCAGGCGGGAGAGAAATTTCCGAAGCTGATTGCGTTTCCGTTATGGGAATAGATATCACCAGAATGCACACTGGGTCTGCCTGCAAAGTCATTAACGTTTCTTAAAAGGGCAGTTTTGGCAGTGGTGATATCACTGACAACAACCGCTCGTTGACTTCCCAAGAAGATCTGGAAAACACTACCGTACTTTTGGCCGAGTTTGGTCAGGCTGTGGAGTGGAACAGTTCCTAAGTTATAAAGGTTTCCAATGATCGGCAGAGTAGCAGGTCCGGGAGGATAATTCATGGCTTTGTTTACCCAGCTCTGAATTGTGCAGTAGAGGAGCACAACAGCGATCACGAAAACTAATCCCTCGGTAAACATATCACCGCTAAACAGAGGACGATCGAACGACTATTGAGCAAAATCTGGTGATGTTTTTGAAGGCTTCGTTTCAAGGACGATAACCTGAGTTATCGTAGTATTGATGCTTCGGCTTTTCTCTTTATACGTATGCAAATTTTCTTTATCAGTTAAGGGTCGCTGTTTTTTTAACCCGGTTTTTTATGTCGCTCTTGAGCTATTTTAGGGCGATTTGGTTAAGAACAGTGGGTTCGATTTAATTTGTATCCGGCTTTGGCGGAAAATTATGTCATTTGAAGATTTATTGTGTCAAGTGTCCGTGTCCGCTCAATAGTTGAATTGCTCCTCAGTCAGTTGTCTTACTGTGATAATTTGCACAGTGCCAAGGTCTCGTAAGCGTCTAACCTGCCTAATGACATGCAAAAGAGGCATTCTTGTTATGCTAACAAAGTGTCACGCTGCTTTCCTCGTTTGCATGACCATAAGAATACTTGAGACCAAACAATCAGGAAGAGAGAATGAAGCTGTTCATCTCATGTTAACAAGTCGTTAATAGTGAGAAGGACTGTCTTTCCGTTTCGCTATGACTCGGCCAAAGTGCATTGTTTCAACCGATGTGATACTATATTCAACGCTTTCATTGATATCTTGTGATTTTGATTCAGTATAAAGGTTTTCGAAAACTTGTTAATCAATTCTTTAGTTGATCACTCTTCGGTTCTTTGAAGCTCACATTTTTTACGCTTGTTTTCCTAAGGAAACAAAAACTGTTTTTTAAATCTACGTGGCCGATAATGGTAAATTTAATAATTTTTCCCGAGTGAGGAATTTTAAATTCCTGATCACCCTAAAAGAGCGTTTTCGTAACATTTGTCATCCTTTGTAACATTTAGCGGTCTCAGCGGACTTGTTCTCTTGGTTTTATTATTATTGATGATATGTTGTAGAGGGTCTCCCTTTTCGTTAAAATATTCCTAAGAGGAGTTTCAGTAGGCCTCTATGCCATTTGCGTTACTGACAATATGGGACAAGAAACACCATGCTGGCTAGTCTTATGCGCATTAGGGCATGACTAAAAATGTATTTAAATTAAGCTTTTTTGCTTCAATTGCCGTACGTGCCAATTTTCTCCTCAGCAGGATGTTGCGAGTATCGTTGACTTTAGGGAGCCCCTTACAGAAGTAACTACTCGTATATTTGCCGTGAACGGAATCCTCCTTGAACAGAACCCTCCTTAGCGCAATAGTCGGAAGAAATCTTTTGTGTTTGTAAGGAAAATTTGACCTAAAAGAGGGAACCTTTTTTGTAGAACACTTGAGGAATCCTCAAGCTATGTACCAGAAGTTTATGTTTCTTTTTTTTTACAAAAGGTTAAATTGAAACATAAGCTTTTCATTTTACGAATATTCTCTTGAACATAAGCTGTTTGTCTGGTGACATTTATCTTTGTCTAAACGTATCGAGGTCGGATATTGTAGTTCTTTTTGATATTGCAGCTCAGGCCCAGTGCTGTGCAAAATCAGGGCTTAATTGGTGAAATTTCATTTAGCTTATACATTCAAGCGGTAAGCTGATATTGTTGTTAGTTCTTTAAGTCATACGTTTTTGTGTGGAGAAAATATCGCCAAAAGACCTCCAGGAAGTAAATCAGGCTTGTTTGCGTAATGATATCAGTTGGGAATGTTATTAAGTAAAGTTCCAAGTTAACAATGCAAAGTGCACTCTAATGAAAACGCTTAGAAGTGGTGCTCTCAGAAGGCGGAAACTTCCCCAGACACCTTCGACAAAAAAAAAATATGTCGACTTTGAAGAACATATTTTAATATAATTGAAAGCCTCGAGTGACGAAGAAACATTTGCTAAATCATTAAATTTCGGACTAAATTTAAATTTTGGATAGCACAGATATTTTTATAAGATACGCTCGTGTTTCCAAAAAACGGGTATCTAAAATATTCGCAGTATTCTCGATACAGTTTAACAGACACCTTTTCTTTCTTGGAGGCGATGTGGTTCTTTTTAAAGTTATCCAGTCAATGATAGCAAGCCTGTGTGCAAAGTATATTGCTTTGCTTATAATAAAAAACATTTGTATCAAAAGATTAGATAAAAAGCTGATTGATTCATCGAGTCGCGGATAATCTTTCATCAAGTTTATTTATTTTCACCGTCATTTTTTCTTCCTTTGTTACATTTGTGATAGGAAGCTACAGTTTCAAAGCCATAACAGCTTGAACTTCTGCGAACTTATTCAAATGAACGCTTTTTAATTGAGCTACAGTGATATTATTTATTTACAGGATGTATTATGTAATTCCTTATCTTATACAGAGACAAGTAACATTTCTAATTGTAGTGGAGGAGATTTCCTAAGGAGGACATTTTTGCAACTTGATAATTAATATTTTTCTCTACCTGCCCTGACAATTTTTTTACTGTGACACTTAAACGTCAGTAAATTTTTTTATTAATTGCTTGTCCATGTATTTTAAAGTATTTTTCATTTTTACCGTTATGCATATTCTAAGTAGTTTAAAAACTTTCTATAAATTACTTGCATCAAATGCTTTTTGATGATTTAAAGCTACACAATTTTACTTATGTCACAATGAAACCTGCCGACCCTTCCTGTTGACAGTCAATGTAAGGTGTCTGTGTGACAATTTGTGTTACGGACTGTGCAAGGATAGCAAATGTAACTATTCCGTCAATTATAGCGTCAACCATTCTTGACACTCGCTACATAATTGTAAAGTAATTTTGGCCTTTTCCTTCTCATGTAAGCTCTGTTCTAAAAATAAGATTGCTAAGAAAAAACATTTTAGCGCAAGTATCGTGGGAGTCTTCGTTGGTGCTTTTGCTATTGTACTGTTAGGATCAACTCGCTGTATCTGCATATCTGGCTCTTTAACGTTGTTTAACATATGAATGTACCTCAGTTCTATTTCAAGTCTGTTTTTTATTCCTTTATCCATTTATTTATTAATATATTTATTCATTTGCTTACAATACAAACAATCTCACACTATTTGCTATGCTGGTAAAAGCAGGACGGCGCTACTTACTAAACTACCACAAATAGAAACACTTCAAAAACACAAGTTCCAGAGACAACAAAACATTCGTTGACGTGCACTATGTGTGCTTGTCAAATGTTAACATTAAATTCTTGCTGATGTGATATCGGGGACAGAGGAACTTAAGTTGAATAACAAGATTAATTCTGATCAAAATATTTACAATCCTATTGTTCTGAGTTTGCTGCCAAAGCACGCATCGTTTGCTTTCAATTTTACAGAAATTAAAATTACCTCTTTATAATTTTATAATTATATATTAATATATATATATTAATTATATAATATATATTATAATAATTATATATTAATTATTAATTATAATAATTATGAGAATGTAATTTGGTCCCTAGTTCATTATCCTTTCGGCTTCACGGCTCGTTTGCTGATTCACGTGTCTTTTTGGGGAAGAGAAAGGCGCATGGCTTTCGTAGACTGATTTACTATCTTTAAATCTCTTTATCGTCAACTTTTATCATTTGACATTTTAAACTTCACACCTGAGCGAAACGGGCAAAAAATTATGATTGATACACGTCATAAACTCCTCGTACAATTAAGAGTCAAAAAGACCAGTGATGATTTTACTGTTTTAAAAATTTAAGTGTGGAACCAAATACTGATCATTTATTAAATGATCAAATGGCCAGCACAAGATTGCGACTTTATTTCTCAAAGCATTCGTGATTCAGCTTCACTAACACTTTGACTTCACGCAGGTTTTTTTATTTTTATTTTATTTTTTTTTTTTTCAGGGAAGCGTCCGTTCCTGGAGAGACTGCGGGCTCAGGAAGAGAAAGATGAGGTAATGCAGGCATTAGAGGAGTACCGGAAGCCAAGAGATGCGCTGTTGATACTTGTGTCAGACTTCATCCGAATTTGTGCGCCACGACTTGAGGAGCTGGAGACGGCTTCACTTCCACCAAGATACACTGTCCCAGAGTTACTTCAAAGCATCAGTATCAATGTAAGATTGAAAATGATTTGTTTAATATTTACGAGTTATTAATTTTTTTTAACGTTGAGAGACAATTGCTTTGAATCATCGTGAGACAGGTTTGAATCGCGATTTTTAAGAACACGAGGAAAAAATTTTTATGCTTTTCACGTCTTCGTCAGTTATAAGGTAATTTGTCAAAAAAAAAAAACAGCTTCAACTTACAGCAACCTAGAGAAGCGGGCTTAATAAGTAATGTTAAAAGGACTGAGTGGAGTCCAATTTGGTCGGTAATCATACGGGTGAAAACATAATCAGACGACCGCCTAACGAGAGTTCGCTCAGTTTATCACGAGTATGATTACAGACCCAGTTGGACGACACAAAGTCTTATGACCAGTTAATCATAAAAATTACAATTTCAGGGAAAGGAAAATAGCCAGGTTATGGAAGAAAGGGAAAATTTGCATTCAAAGACTGACAAAGGAGGCGTAAATTGTTTAATGTGACTCTGATTGGTTGATTTAAACTACAACTTTGAATGTGATTGGCTCACTCAACTGTCCGATAATCCGATAACAACTTACCAAGTGAATTAGTGTAAAACTAGGAGTTTTTTTAAACCAATCACAATCGAGATACCATCACGAAACAAATAGATGCAACGAAAATAAAATGGGTAGAAAAATATTAAAATGTAAGGTTAACTTGTCAAGTGATTCACTGATAAGCTTGGATTGAATGAGACTGACAGGAGATGTTCTGTAATGCTTCTGTCCACTTGTTGATTATTGTAACTGTAAATGCGTTTTCCAAAATCAAACTTATATAACTTGGTTAACTTTAATTTGATTATTCTCTCTTGCCAGACCCTCGCACAGATTGTCTACTCTTTGTTGAAGCTGGCAGTTTACGACCACGTGACCCTGTCTTGTCTTGGAGTGAAACGGTAATGTCCTATCAATGCGTACGTGAACTTTTTTTTTGTGGGTGGGGTGGGGTGGGGGGTGCCTCTCTTAAATCTCCTCATCTTGCATTTTTTCAGGTGAGGTCTGCTTGCTAGTGATGAATATTGCATACTGCCTTAAGTCCCGCAGTATTTTTTTTCTTTATTGTTATTTTATTCTTGAAATACTTGGAACATTTCAGGTACATGACAGATGCCTTACCGCTTTTGAAAGGTTCTCCAGAAGCCCTGGAAGCTTCGATGTTACTCATTCTTAAGAGAGTCGACAAAATGTTCGAGAAGCTAGTCAACAAGCCTGACCTGATGGTAAGATTGCCAGTCACTGTGGATCATATTAGAGACCTTAAGATACCCCGATCCGTTAGACGGCTACGGGTGAATTAACGATAGCCGCACTCGTGAAATGTGGCGGGAAGATCAACTTAAGTTACCCGGAATAAGTCTGAGAAGACTGGAAACAACTTCTTGACTTTTGGTAAACATGGCGGCTTTTTGGCCAGATACACTTGATGCGGTTCACATAAATGTTTGGTACAATATTGTCTGCTAAAAGAATTTTTCGACTTCGAACAAGTCTCCGTCATTCACCTCCAATGACCATTCAGCTGGTTTTCGGAAAATGTTTCTTTTTAATTAGACTTAATTTGGTACAACACAAATTAAGCATCACGAATTAACTCCCACTTTAGCTCATTTTGATTTTATACTTTCCTGAACGTCGTTTGCTGGTCTTCTCGGCTTCCCCGTCTTCACCGCAAGTAACCACTCGTAAAGTGCCATCTACCCCGGATAAACGGCTAGGTTACCCGGTCGTGTGATGATGTCATTACCAAATTCGGTCAAACATGGCGCCCAACCCGTAAACTGCACACCGAAGTTGGGTATCTTAAGCTCTCTCTTATCCTAAAGAGACGCTTCTTTTACTCCTAATTCTTTTCTTATTTTTGCAGAGGTGCATCGACTGGAAATCTCTGGAGGTTTATCTTAAAGGTAGACTTATGTATTTTAACTCTGCTTCCACTTGAGGAGCAGTTGCCCTCGATTGTTTGTTTATTAGCTTATGTGAAAGCCTTCTCTGTCGAGATTTGAACTGGAAATCTTTTAGCGGTGCTGTAATATTTGGGAACCATGCTGTTAATAGTTTAATGAAACACCCTCTCTATAAAGACCATCTTAAATGTATTCCCCCTCATCTTGATTTCAAAGTTCACATAAAGCCCCCGTCTCAAATGATTTCCCCGTCTAACACTTCAAGGAACAAGTGAGCCCCCTCTTGAATGAGTTCCCCGTATGATCAAAATTTTCTGATTACCTCCCCCTTTAATAATATCTCCACCTTATAGAGCTTCAAGTTTCTCATTAGCTTCCTTCTGTAATTTCTGGAGTTTGTAATCAGCCTCCCCTCCCGCTCTTCCGATCCCTCCCCCCCCTTTCCTCTCCACCAATCCAGAGCTAACAAAGCTTTTCAGCTTTCTAACCCTAATTCTAGACGAAAATGAAGTCTTCCACTTTAGCCCCAGTAAGTGCCTCATAGCTTTGCCCTCTCCGTAGCCCTTTGTAAGGAGT